GCTCTCAGGCTCTGAAACTCTGTCCGACTCTGCCACATTGCTCAAATTTGCCGGAGCCACCAGCACCAAAGGCACTGCTTTTGGACAGCCTCAGGCTCTTGGGCTGGGGGAACAACTCTTCCCAAAGTTAGGCCGCGACGCTTGCTCATAGCGACCATGGCAACCGCTCTAAAATACCTTCCTGGTGCTCTGGAGCAAAAAAAGTCCGGCTGGTGAAGCCGCGCTGCATCTCCAAGCTGCAGTTTGATACATGAGCTAAGACTCTTTTTGAGGCGAGCAGTCGGTGTGAGAGCTGATGCGCGTGAACTTGTGAACTTGCACTCAACAAGCCAGTGCAGCGGCCAACGAAGTCTGCACACCCTAGCCAGTATTTTCAGGCCAGCAAAGGCTGCACACCTAACTGCACATGTCCGAGCCATGTTTACATGCTGCCGCCAGTTCTTCTGTTGCGAGCAGGATAGCCCAAACAGCCTCTTGCCATTTGGCAGAAGGCTGAGCAAGCGGCATCATAACACCAAAATACCATGTGAAGCCACAGGACGGTGAAAGTAACTGCAATTGCGAACATGATGAATCTTGCACATCATGCCGAACATTGTGCCTTAGTTTTCCCTAAGTCCATCAATTGATGGATTGAGCTCTTCAGGCAGCCTCAGAACTTGAGCGTTTGCACAGAGCAAGCAGCAGCCTGACAGGCAACCCAGCAGCCCGGCTTACAATAATAAAATGTTGGAAGCTGGAGCCAGCAGCTTGACAACTTGGCGAATAAAGAAATCCGCGAAGGATTTGCAATCGCTTGGCCCCGCGGTGGCGCTGTCGCCAAACATATGGATTTCTGGAAGGCTTCTTGGCCTCATGAGCTGTGCGTTGAAGTACTTGAAGTTGGGCAGCTCTGGTGTGCCTTTACGGCCCTGCCAAGCCTGGCATTCCAAGTGCGCTGGGTCACAAGTTTTCAGCAAGCGCTGGGCGCAGCCTGGTGATCTGTGATGCTCGTCCACGTAGGCACATCGAAAATGCTGACGTTCGGCAACCTGCACTCGCTGGCTCGCTCACATGGCTATGTTGTGAATCTAAGACCGAGGCGGAAAGCTTACAGCCTCTGGGCTATCAGAGAACGACCAATCGTTCTCGCCCGCTTTGGCCTTTCAAACACCAGGAGCCAAAGAGCTTTGGCTACTGCTTTTGGCCTGAATGCACGCGCAGACTTTGTCGATGTACCTGGCAAGGCATTCGCCCGTCATCCATCCCTTCATAGGAACAGAAATCCAGAACAAACAGGGCCAGGCCTCGATGCAAAAGACTCGTAGCTGCTCCTTGGGTCCTTCCCAACCTTGCAGCATCTGGTGAACTCAATCAAACTTGCCTGAACAAAATGGCAGTGCTCCACAACACATTCTTGTCAGACAGCCATGCTTGCCGATGTGTGATGTTTTTTCTTTACTCGGCCTATTGTTTTCAAGCGAATAGGCCAAAAACATGAACAACGTGCAACATGCAATGGAAAACGTAGGCAGGAATCGTGGCGCTTCAAAGAGGCCTCTCCATTGTGCTCCGCGCCATACGCAGTCTCTTTCAGCCGATCTTCTCGCAACTGGCATGTGCTTCGGAAGGTCGTCCGTAAAAGGTGGAGAACCCTTCCGAGTGCCTTGAGGAGTTTGGTGACCCCCAGGACAACTGTGTACCTGATAGATTTAGAGTTTAGAGACTCACAGTGGCAAGAAGGCAATCACATCAAATCTGTGTTCAAACAAATGTATTCAAGCAGATCTAGGTCCGTAGCTGACTCCGCTTCAGCACCTTTCTGCAACCCAATCTGCCCCAAGTCAACAGAGGTGCCAGAACATGCAAGACTTCTTCAAACACTACTCGCACATGCCACTAGCAAGAAAATTAACCACTGACTCCACCTCTTTGCCTCTGACACTGAACAACGCTCATGCCGAGGCATTGGCCGCCAATAATCGAGCCAGTTCCCTGCCACGCTGATGATCCTGGCGGTCAATTTGCGAGCAGCTTTGTGCTCAGACTGAGAGGCTCCTCCCACACTGCAGGAGCAGTTGCATCAATCAGAAAGAGGACCGCATAATGCGGCAAGTTACCACCTGGGAAACTGCGACTCGTTTTGAGACCCTTCAGTGGCTTCAAGAACATCTGTACCGACTGCGCAAGAGGCATCGATCCTGATTTTCACACACACACAATCTTTGGGTGACTCGAAAACCACTCCGCTGTTTGCTCGCACGCACATCATACATGTTTTTCTACACATCTGCAAATCCTGACAGCGTCCATCAAGCCAATACAACATCAGGCAAACATACCCTGCTCTGCAACCTTTTCTCAGGCAAGCTCTCCGCAAAATGATGCGCATCCAGGAGGGGACAGCACTATAGTGCCTCGGTCTTGTGTGTCTCTGTGTGTCTCTGTGTGTCTCTGTGTGTCTCTGTGTGTCTCTGTGTGTCTCAGTGCCATTTTGCTAGATGATGAATTCTGGCCAAACCCAGTTCTGTAGTTGAACCTTGGAGATCTGTTGCGCGCCATGTTCGGCGCGCCTGTGCAAGCCTGACTTTTCATTGGGGCCCGTCGGCGCACGTGATCTAGTTGGGGGGTTTGTGTCCCAACCGTTTGTGAGGTGCCTTCAACAATGTTGTTTCGTTCGTCTTCCTTCCAGTACCATCTGCTTATAGCTTTTCATTATAGTTTTTCACTATATTGATACAACTATCACAAAGGGCAGCCAAACACTCTGCCAACACGCCCATCCAAGATTGCCGCGGGTTTTTTTCCCACGGGGAAGCGCGGGCACGAACATGCTCAAAGCTCACACAGAGTCCAACGCGATTGCAATGTCAAGGGAACCAGGTCTGCTAGATGTACAGCACGGCTATCCAAACTGAGGACAAAGTGTCTGTACCCTGATAGCGTCATGCTGTTCATGAGGCCAGGATTTCTTGAGCCGCAGCTGGCGAACCGGCTTGCCAACCTGCTCATGGTTGGATATCTGCAATGTATACGTTTGCTCTTTGCGACTACAAGTTCTCCGTTCTACAGCATCAGCAGAGTCTCCGCACGACGAACCTGGTTTGTCACGAGTTCCGCGCAAACTACAGCGCGACAAACAGGCAGCAAGTCAAATTCGCGGACATGAGCGCCACAGTGTTTTCGACAGCAAGCAACGAAGCTGCTCCGGACGTCCGGGCACCGAGGTGCCCAAGATGCGTTCCAGCTCGACGCAGGGTGGACCAAGCGGAGTAAGCCCCATGAGCTCGCTGAGGCCGGATGGCAACATCTTGCAAGCTTGCGGGGAAATTGAAGCCTTCACCTTGGAGATCAGCCAAGAACCGCGCAGAGCCATTAACCGGGCAACACATAGCACCTGCCAATCCTTCCAAAAAGACATCCTGGCAAAGCTTCATGACTGCGCCTGACCAAAATACCGGGTTCTTCTCCACTTCCCCTAGTGACCCCAGTCACGTCGGCCAGCGGCTAATCACCGCAAAGCGAACTACGGTATCACATCTTTACAGGTCTGAACCGCCTGGGGCACAATCAGGGTCCACATCTCTGGAGTCCAGCGCCCGCCTCAGATCGTCCCAGCGCATGGACTTGGTCACGCTTACCACAAACATGTCCTGGGTCGCGGATCCGTCACCAACTTGGTTTTCTTGCGACCTCCCATCATTGACGGAACGGTTTCAGCCTGCAGTATTGACCAGCATACCCGGCGGATACTGGTAGATCCCCATTCCAGCGGGTAGAGGCAGGTGGTCATCTCCTTGTCGTTCGGCATGTTTGCGATCACCACTTCTTTCGTTGCGTGGGACGTGTCGGTCAAGCTCAGCATCTTGGGCTTGCTCTGTCAGCTATGCAGTGTGGAGCACTTGTAGCATAGAATCGGCCTGCACAATCTTCCCACCAGCCAACGCGCATCTGGGACGCTTCGGCTGCAGCGCGTCTTCCTGTAGGTTCCTCTTCCGTCCTGCATTGATGTGGATGCCCTTCACCTTTGCCAGACACAGGCGGCGTGATCTCGATGTAGTCCTTGTGGTCCGCAACCAACCACAATAAGTGTCCTGCTCCTTGGCTGCGAAGGTGAAGCGCTTCTGAGACCTTTCCATGATTCCACACCACAGCGGGTCGTCCACATGGCTTGACCTCCAGGACGCACAGAGCTGGTTCTCCGTGCGCTTCTCAAAGTGCGGCTCGCGCCATCTCCGTGCACGTCTCAGGCCAAGTAGAACCCTCTAAGTGCGCGACATCTCTGCTGTGTACAGGTCTGCTGCTACGCTGGTGCCATCTTCCATGGTTTTCAGGGGTACCTTCATCACCAGAGTTCTGTGAGATGCTACTCCCTGGAGGAAAGCTGCTCTTTCTCAGCTTGTCCTTCTGATTCATCATCCTCCTCTTGTCCCGGGTTCGGCACACTTCCGGCAGCTGAGGCCTATGCTCCTGAAGGCAGTTCTTCCTTTCCACGGCCGACCGCCCTTTTCCTGCTGAGTTCGTGGGCTTCTGTTCTGCCCATCTGGCCAACGCTTCTCCAGCGCTCCTCCGAAGTCTTTCCTTGCCCAGTTCTCCAGCACCTCGCCCGTGTCCATATCCGTGGTCCTCTTCCAGTAGCTGTGACCACTTAAGGTTGCGACTTCTCGGCTTCTGGTTGTAGATCTGCTCATAGTCCTCTTGCATCCATGGAGTGGGCAGGTGTCGCTTCCAGGCATCGGTAGTGACAACCTTGTCTTCTCCATCATCTGCTTCGAGCTGGTCGGCATGAAGGGATACGTCCTTGTGGTGTAGTGATGCCTCCTGGATGCCGGTGGCAATGTCCATAGCCCAGCCCCTGGATCGGGGCTCCGCTCCATGGCGATCGGCCCTTTTCTGCCGTGAGACTCAAGGGCCCTTACCCCAGGCGTGTCGATCGGCGGTGAATCACCGCAACCTACGGTTTCACACCAGCCTCATGTCAACCTACCCTAGCCTGAAGGATTCTACTGCCCGCTGTGTGGCGTCTTTCTGGCAATACGTGTTTCCAGAACTTCCAGTTTTGTTTATCGCCATCAAAGAAGACACACTCTTCACTTGCTGGTAATTCGCCGAATCCCCTTCCCATGCAGCACTGCAACTCCATCATACGTCAATGTGCATATCCCCCGTGTCGCGCATAGTCCGTTGATTATTGTCTGCTCCATGACGACACTTACAAACTGGAACTGAGCGTCACCGTCCCTTTGTTAAGCCGCTGGCAGCACGCTGTTTGGGCTAATGCTAGAACACAGGGGCTGTTCTTCCCGCGTGGTGCCACAAGACCTCAGATACATGCCAGTTCCGAGTTGAGGTCTTTGACTCACAACGTCTAGGCAGCGGACGGGGTGTCTGTCAATACCACCCTGAGTTCTGCAGGCACCAGCAGAACTTCACAAGCTTAGGGAAAGCTAGCCGATTCAGTCCCCGACCTCATCTGCCGGGTCTCACCGGACAAATACCGAATCTCACCTAGCAACAGAGGCTTTGAGACGTCTGCTCCACACTTATCACATCCTTTCAAGTCGCCAACTCACTGAAGAACCGACGGACACCCGCCCCAGAAAGGATGCTTGCGAATGAGAAGTGCTCTCTTTCTATGAAATCCATATCCGCTCCCCGATCTAACAGGAATAACTAGCCGTGTCAGAGGCTCGTTTCGCACACTGAAGCTTCCACGTTCAGGCAAGTCCCAGGAGTTGCCGTAGGCCTGCGCTCGCAAATCACGCTGACCAAAGAAAGAGACTGCTAAAATCAGCCAGCGCAACCGGCATCTCCCGCAGCTTTTCCCGATTTTCGTGGGAGTGAGGATACCTGGCCGCGAAAAAACAGACTGCGAGAGTCCGGGCTTCGGGGCTTTTAAGCCGCAGCGGGGCACTTGCCGTGTTGGACTGCCAGCAGAGAACAAATCAACGATGTCTTACCTGCTGACCTGGCGCTTTGCTGGGCAAACATGTGGCTGTGGCTAAAACAAAATGTACCCAAAGTGGCTAAATAGGTGAAAATGGAAACAAAAAAACAAAACCTGCGTAACCCTGGCGCTTAAATTTTCAGCCACACCCAAACTGGCAGGATGCACTTGCCGCCCAGCACGGCAATACCTTGGGCAGAAATCAGACATGTCCCAGCAAATTGTTTTTTTTTTTTTTTTTTTTTTTTTTCTGAGGCGACGGCCATGCACATCGTTCCGGTCGTTGATGAGTGGCCTGGCAAAATTCTGAGAATCGCGGCGTCTTCAAATGACTGTGGCTCAGAATTAAACAAACCGCTGGTTTTGGTCCATGTTTCCACTTACCAGGGTCCCTGTTGGTACCGGTTTTTTGAGCCACACATAAATGAACAAGTATCAAAACTGGAAGTTGGGATGGAAAACGCTATGTGCAACAAGTTTCGTTGAGATGATGGTGCCTGAATAATCAATGGCCTTGGCGGCCACAAATATCCAACAGCACCAAATACGTCCACCCCGATCAGGCTGCCACTAAAAAAAAAGCTGAAGGCCCCTCCAAACGTTCAGACAATAAGCACAAGAACAAACCAACTATAGCCAGGCCGGCAACTCTGGAAGATTGCGATCGGTCAACAGAGAGCGACCTGTGTCAGCGAGCACCTTGGACCCAGGCGCATGCGCAATGCCCCATCCTTCTAAATCAACTGCGCTCACAAATCCACATGTCTTTTTCCACCGCTGAATAAGTCTGGCTGGTACCTGCACAAAACCGATTCATGGGGTTCCAAACAGATAGCGTCCGAAAATGATGTTTGCTTCTCTTGAAGAAAACTCAAAACAGCTGGTAGCCGTGATTTTTCGAAGTTGACAGAATAAATACTTTGAGGAACCCTGATTAGCAACACTCTTTGCCAAGTCTGCCAAGCGTAGCACTCAACATTCACATCTGAAGACAACCAGAGAAGTTTTCGGGCCCAAATGCCAACTACGAATTTTAAGCAACAATGGCATACTGTCAGGGTGATGGTTCTCTTGAACATGGCGTGACAAACAGTCACGAGTCTCCTTCCCGAGTGACATGCTGCCGGCTGGGCAACACTCCCCAAGGCTGTGGGAAGAAAACTTAGACACACTTGGCGTGGAAAAAAAGAGAGGCTCAGCCGGGCACAGCTCTATGTGCCTGGAACATCGGATGCTCCCTGTACAAACCTTACAAAATCCTCGGTGCCTATCATCGACCCTGAGTGGCTTTCAAACGGAACCACAGGGCGACGACTGCAAAGTAGGGACACACACTTGGCGTCCAGGCATGGAATATGAATTGAAGCATCATGCATGAGACTCGCTAAGGCACGAGGCATCTAAAAACCAAAGGCAATGCTTCAGTCGTGCACTCGTGAATCGGAGTACGCCATGTCCAGATTCCTAGACTGTGTCATGATTGGAGGAAGCCGCAAGGATGCCAGTATTCAAAGCCACAAAACCCAGCTTTCAACATGCTGAACACCTTTCCTTCCCTTGCTTTGCTTCACTCCAGCCAGGCTCAAAATTTGGGAAGATTTGTGTTGCTCGAATTTGGCAACTGAAAACGCAGCATTTCAAAGGCCTGCGTCAGTACGCCTCGTATCCGCATCGGGAAGTCTCAGCCTCCGGTCACCTTGGATCCTGCCTCCATGTGCCTGCAAATTGGCAACTCTCACTGAGCGCCGTCAATGCATGGCATGAGAAATGGACTTTGGCAGAGACGAAAAAGGACTTTGTTGAGCAGTTTGCATAAACACGTCAGCATTCCTCCCTGTTTCCAGGAAAACACGCTTTCACCGACACTTTTGCAGCACGCTGGCTGCATGGATGCTGCTTCTTGGATTACTTGGAGCCGTCACCGTTTGCACACAACCGAAACTGAGGCGGGTCTTCGCCACAAGCACTGATGCAGTCAAGCATGATGGACATATGTCGCGCGTGATCCTTCTTAGGGAGTGGTGACACATGCTGGACCTTTCTCAAGATGGAGGTGTCGTAAAAGGTGTACAAACAAATATATTCTTTGGTGAGCCGGTTTCATGCGTTCTTCTTGTGATGCCTGGGATCCCTCAGCATCCGCAACGCTCGCATCTGGATGGCAAGACCTAGCCGAAGGCTTTGGGGCCCAGTTTGAGGCTTGAACAGGGACGCGCCCAACAAAAGTGCAGCTCCATCTTGCCGCCTTGGATGTGTTGAAAATGTGGGTGCGGGTCAAAATTGGTACGCGAAATGGAACCCTGGTAAGTGGAAACATGGACTAAAACCTGCGGTCCCCTGCTGGATTAATTTTGACCCATACCCATGTGTTATGTCCTGCATCCCAAGCATCTGGGCAAACATGATGCCTGAGCATCAGGCAGGCAGAAGAGCCGGTTTGCTCACCGCAGAACCAACGTCCCCCCGTCATTTGTGCGGATGCGTGTAAGGGGCGCTTCCATTCTGCGTGCAACTTGACAAACAATACTTCCCATCCCTGTCTTGTCGAGCCCAAGGCATGACACTCTTCATGCACACTTTGGTGTATTCACAAACCTGAAACAAAGATCGCGAAGTGTGCAGAATCCTAGATCCCCAATATCACCTACAATTGCTTTGGAGCCTGGGAACCCTCTGGGAAATGCCTGGCTTCGCATCGCCAGCACGCAGCACCAGCACGGCAAAAGCGGGCACGCGAGATTCAGCAGCATCAACATCATCATAATCATCATCATCGCCACCATCATCATCATCATCATCATCATCATCATCATCATCATCTGCGCTTGCCTCAAAGTGTTTCAACACAAAATGCCACGCTCCCGTGGATTCAGCAGAGAAAGGGCGAAATGTGATTCGTCTTGCCTACTGACGTGGCACCTCAATATCACTCAGCAAGTGGAAGTCAGCATCGGCATCACCATGATCATGTCGGCACAAGCTGTGAGCGGTGCTTGACAAAGCTGGCACGTATGGTCGGATGTACGAGGGCACAAGTAGAGCAGGACACCACGCCTTGAAAGCATCTTGTAAGCTCCAAGAACTTTCTCGAATGTCTCCTCAGCCTTAGCACCATCTGCCAAAAACAACCTTCGGCAGCAGGAAAAGACTAGGCAAAGAACTGCCTCCGGATCCTCCAGATCGTACTCGGGCAGCCACCTGAACCAGAGCCAATTCAAGCGCTGCAACTGCAACCCGGTGTGGTTTTGAAGGCAACGAAACGGTGCGCAAAAAGCGCCTTCCGTTTGTTGATACGAAGTGGCGGAAGGTTGTTGCTTTTTTGGGGGGGAGGGCATGGGAGTGTCGTAGTCGGAAGTAGGCGCCCCATCAGCCGAATGCACAAAGCTGCAACTTGGTGTTTACACCAGGCATCCGGCCCATTCAGCCTTTAAAATGCAAAAAAATGTATCATAAATTAAACCAGCGTTGGCTCCAAGCAGCATAAGATAAATGTATGAATCAAAAGCATTGCATACTACGCTGTCGCCACAGAGCACAAGAGCACGTAGCGCGATTAAACAGTGCAACACACACATGCATGCTTTAACAACATCATGAGACCCCCAAACGCCGAATACGCAGCACCTTGCGTTCCGTGCAAACAACAAGACATGTGCACACACACACACACGCACGCACACACACACACACACACACACACACACACACACACACACACACACACACACACACACTTCAACTCCCGAGGGAGAGTGCTAATCCTTCGAGTACAACCGATGAGTCTCGAGTGGGCAACCGATGAGTCTCGAGTGGGTGGATTTTCGGCTCACAGTCGCTTGGTTTCCGTCTAGCAGCGAAAACGTTACAAGATTCAACATGAAGCACACGCAGCGGCAAAAGAAGAGGGCCAAAAAGACATTCAGAATCACTCAGATGATGCAGGTGCGCGGAGTAGTTGATCAGACTCCGTATCAGCCGTGGCATAGCCCTCTTCGTTGGGCAACCAGCTATGCTCACGGCGTTGCCCCCCTGCGCTCAAGTGTGGTGACAGGGTATTCTGCCACTCCGCACACACGCGCCCCTCAAAGAGGGGCAAGGACCACTTTTTCGGGGGGGAAAACACGCGCCCCAAAACCGGGCGAAGACCCCAACAGAAAACAAACAGAGCAGGAAAACAAAAGAAACAGAAAGGCCCCACGTTGGGTCACCGCAGGCAAAACCCAACCAAGAAACACGAAAAACATTGGAACCCGAGTTTAGGGTCACCGCCAAGGGCAAAGAACCCCAAACAGCCCAGAAACCCTCCTAAACCTGGTAGAAAAAGAGCACCGCGAAGTTGAAGAACGACACCACGAACACGCCATCCCTAAACGGGCGAAGAGGAACAACAGGAAGTAGTTGGGAAAGAGGGGGGAGACAAAGAAGGAAAGAAAGAAAGAAAGAAAGAAAGAAAGAAAGAGAGAGAGAGCGAGAAAGAGAGAAAAAGAAGAGAACAAGGGGGCCGAGATGCGTATTAAGGGCGCCGCAGCCCGCCCGGGGAAAGGAGAAAGGAAAGAAAGGGAAAGAGAAGAAGAAGAAAGAGAGAAAAGAAGACAAAGGGAGCGAGATTCGTATTTAGGGCGCCGCACCCCGCCCTGGGAGAGGAGAAAGGAGGAAAAAAAAGAAAGGCAAAGAAAAGAAGTAGAAGACAAGGAGACAAAAGCAGAAAAGAAGGAAGAGGGAGGAAGGAAGAGGAAGAGGGATGTAGTATGCGTTTTTAGGGCAACGCATCCCGCGCAGACAGGAACAGAGGATGAAGACCAAGGCTCGAGGAGGAAGACGTCGAATCCCACACGGGGGCCAAGAGGACGGACACGGAATAGCAACGGAAGGGGAAGAAGACGTCAAGCCAAACTACGTGAGGAAGACGAGGAGTAGGAACAGGTAGACAGACAAGAAGACGAAGACGAGGAGAAAGGTGAACGACGCGAGGACAACCAGGCCATCCCTAAGCGGGCGAAGAGGAGGAGGACGAACGCGCAGGTCACGAAAGGCAGCAAGAAGAGAACGGGAGGAAGGAGAAGCCATCCCTAGACGGGCGAAGAACCAGAAGACGGACACGTGGAAGACGAAGGCGAGAAAAGGTGAGACGTAACTATGATCTGGTGGCTGTCTTCCCTTTAGTGAAACCTCGTTCCTGCTTAAACGTGAAATTCCGCTGGACTATGATAAGAACGTTGAGGTCAAATTTTCCGGCGAGCCGGCCCGGGGTCACACGATGGGTACACCCGAGGTTGCCCCAAGATGGGGTGATCACACTTCAACTCCCGAGGGAGAGTGCTAATCCTTCGAGTACAACCGATGAGTCTCGAGTGGGCAACCGATGAGTCTCGAGTGGGTGGATTTTCGGCTCACAGTCGCTTGGTTTCCGTCTAGCAGCGAAAACGTTACAAGACTCAGGCAAAAGAAGAGGGCCAAAAAAAACATTCAGAATCACTCAAATGACGCAGGTACGCGGACTTGATCAGACTCCGTATCAGCCGTGGCATAGCCCTCTTCGTTGGGCAACCAGCTACGCTCACAGGGTTGCCCCCCTGCGCTCAAATGTGGTAACGGGGTATTCTGCCACTCCGCGCACACACACACACACACGCGCACGCGCACACACGCACGCACACACACACACACACACACACACACACACACACACACACACATGCGCGCACGCGCACGCGCAAACGCACGCGCACGGGCACGCGCACGCGCACACGCACACACACACACACACACACACACACACACACACACACACACACACACACACACACACACACACACACACACACACACACGCGCGCGCGCGCACGCACGCACGCACGCACGCACGCACGCACGCACGCACGCACGCACGCACGCACGCACGCACGCACGCGCACACCGCACGCACCCACGCACCCACGCACCCACGCACCCACGCACCCACGCACCCACGCACCCACGCACCCACGCACCCACGCACCCACGCACACCCACCCACCCACCCACGCTCGCACGCACGCACGCACGCACGCCCGCCCGCCCGCCCGCCCGCCCGCCCGCCCGCGCGCTTGCACACACAGAGCAACTGCACCGCATACCACTATGCGCTGCACGCGTGTGCAAGCTTGCGCTGCACTAAATTTGCAGTGCGCACGCTTCTCTCAACATCATACGGCACGCTCACCCTGGACACATACTGATTTGTGGTCCACACATCCTGCACTTCTGCTGCGAATGCTGCACAGACCAGTGTGTGCCGAACACGTAGGCGAGACAGCGCTGCGACAAGCACGCCTGCTTTCAGGACAAATCAATGTACGCAATGCGAACTGAAGATGTTGCAAGAGATGTGCAAAAACACCACTCTGAAGTGCTGCCGCGGAATCCACCAACCGCACCAAGATTTGAACCCTCGGTCAGCGCGCTGCAAAGATAACGCGTGCAGAACTTGAGCAACTTCTGAACTCTTTAACATTCTCAGTGCAATTGACTTCTGCAGCGGGCTTTCCGAGAGCCGAAGCTTAAGGGCGGACCCCCTTAGCATCCTCCAGTATCGCCTGCATTCCTTCCAGCGTGCAACATCCCTAGCATTGCGTGCAACTAGTCTTCTTAAGAACAGCCACTCTTGGGTTTTCATGTGAGCCAACGATGCGTCAACAAAATGGCGCTTTCATCATAGAGTTGCCAGAAGTAAAGCAGTCTTGCCGGACATCCCCAAAAAAGCTCTGGTTAACCTCCCACGCACATTCCCATGGAACCCACCAAAGGGTCCCTTTGTGGAGAAGATTGTTTTCAAGGAATGCAGTCAATGACTGGGAATTTGCTTTCATTCAACAACCGGCTACCAGAAAATGACAATGACAGCACGCGATTAACACCCGACATCATAAGCTAGAGGCCGATGCGAAACATTGCATCCAACTAGTGACCGCCTGCCGGATGTGTTTGAAATCGAAGCCGAGCGTTGGCTTGGTGGGCTCTGCAGCGGCTGTTCCGCGAGCTGCCTTTTGCGCCGTGTTCATCTTTTTTTTCTGGGCGCGCGCGCCCGATGTGACACAAGTTTGCACCCAAGCCGCGACACTTGGACTGCTGGACTTTTGGGCGAGGCCCAGCCAAAGCCAAATGTAGTTAATGCCCACATGCCGAGAAATGCCAATAGCAAAGCAGCCCGAGAAAAAGCTCAAGCAAAGCCAAGCCGAGCAAGGCTGAGCAAACGCACAGCCTGGCCGGGCCACAAGCCAAGCCAAGCAAGGCCAAGCCTGCCCAAGGCAGAGTTTTGCGTTGCTGGCAAGACACGTTTGCAGAAAGCCCGCAAAATGAATGAACGAATATATATATATATATGTATACATATATAGATATATGTATATATATATATATATGTGTTGCAGTGTATATATATATATATGTATGCTGCATTACTCTTTTGGCGGGCTGGATTCAGGGGCTCAAGACAATCCCAGCTGGATAAAGCCTCACCCAACGCGACAAGCCCGCCCCCAAACAGGCCTAAGTGCTTGCCGATGGTAAGCTTCAGCCACGTCTGAAAGTGAAGCTACCGGGGCAATGTTCAAGACCTTGGCCGACCCTTTCTGGAACCCACATGAACCACAGTCAAAGGCCCATGTACGGATGTCTTTTTTCCAGGGTACCCATTTGTGGCTCAAAGGGAAACGAAAAGGAAACCCCAGCTTGTGTTTGTTGTTTGGCGGGTCCATTAAGAAAGACACACCCATACGTCCTATTCGTATGGTCGTGGCGCCGGATTTATTTTGTTTTGCTTCCTTATTTTTTGGGGGGGATGTTTTGTTTGGGCCAGTAAAATGTCTGTGCTTTACAGTATTTTCTGGCGAAATTGCCCTGCTCTCTGTAGCTCTCTGCGGCTGTCGTTGAAGGCAAACTAAAGGCACAGTATATACCTAATTGACCTGGCATCGGTTTCAACATCCCCCGCATGTCCGACCAACATCCCCAGCATCACCAACAAATCGTGGGTAACAAGATCTAAAAAGTAGCTGGCTTGTTGACGGGGTTGAAAAAATGATGATTCAAATAGGAGGGCATTTCAATCCCTGCAAAAAATCTACAAAGTAGCGAGGGGGGTTGGGGGGGGGTGCGGCAGCCCCCCCGTGATGTTCGCAGAAGTGATGATTCGAATAGGGGTGCAATTAAATCTCTGCAAAACAAATGGGGGGCGGCAGCCCCTCCTTTCATTATGTTCGAAGAAGTGATGATTCGAATAGGGGCGCAGGGGGGTTGCGGGGGGGAAGGGGGGCAGCCCCCTCATGTTGTTCGAAGAAGTGATGATTCAAAATAGGGGTGCAATGAAAGGGTGCGATAGAATATAAAAAGCAGCGGGAGGCTTGGCGGGGGTGGATTCCCCTGCGATGTTCGAAGCAGTGCATACATACAGACATACATAGACTACATAGATTACATAAAATGTCGTATTTTACTGCATTTTCTCGCAAAATTGGATGCTTGAAAAAGCGATGATTCAAATACGGATGCAAGTAAATCTCTGCAAGAAATCCAAAAAGCAAAGGGGGGGGTCGGGGGGAAGGGGCGACCCCCCCCAATGATATTTGAAGAAGTGATGATGCAAATAGGGGAAATCTCTGCAAACAATCGGGCGGGTTGGGGGGGGGGGAAGCCCTTGCATGATGTTTGATGATTCAAGTAGGGAGGAACTGGTGATGGTGAGGATGCGGGAAGCCAAAGCCCGGAGAGGAACTGGGAAAGCAGAGGATGCGAAAAGCCAAAGCCACCAAAGCCGCATAAACCAGCGAAAAGCCGCAAAAGCCAAAACGCCACCTGCCGGAGAGGAACTGGGAATGCAGAGGATGCAAAAAGCCAAAGCCAAAAAGCCACCAAAAGCCACATAAACCAACAAGAAGCCGAAAAGCCGAGAAGCCGAGAAGCCAAAAAGCCAAGAAGTCAAGAAGCCGAAAAGCCAAGAAGCCAAGAAGCCAAAAGCGGGGAAAAAATAGCTCTCCAATGGGTATTAAAGTTGCTAAGGATCCTTATTGAAATCGCTACGTGATCCGCCGACGCCAGTGGGGTGCGAGGATTTTCAGACCTTTTTTCTTTTTCAGGGAAGTCTTGCTTATTAACACCAGATAATAGAAGGTCTGAGTTTGCCAGTTTACAGACACTTCCCTATAAAAAAATCCTGGAAATGCAAGGGCGCAAAATTGACCAAACACAGAAAATACCAGAGATGCCGAGAATGCCGGGAATGCAGCCGGCTGGCCACAAAAAAGTCTAAAAAAACAGGATTTTATTGATATTTCCCAAATTCAAAAAGTTCCTCAACGTATCACTGCACTTGGCCCCACCCAGACCCCTAACAGGCCGATTCCAACATCGCTTGAAACAGCAAAACACCATTAGCATCTGCAAAAGAAGAGACAAATTCAGAGCAGCAAGGTAATCCTGATGATGCTGCGGGATGCAGATCCTGCGCGTCGGGGGAACCCCCCCCCCCAGAGACCTAGGCGAAACGCATATGTTTAGCACGCAAGCCCCAAAAACACTGGAAAATTACAGGGTTTTGGACACCCAGCTCACCAGGTTTAAAAAAAAAAAATGGCAGCCCCAAAAGCCTTCGACTTTGATAAGAGATCCGAAGGAAGACCAAGTTGCGGACTGCCATCTACACGCTCGACTGGCGTCGGCGAATTACTAGGTGGATGACCATCCCTGCTAACCCCAAGCAAAGGGGTCTTTTAACCATGGTGCATATCAAGAAGATGCGCTTTCTCCAGAGGGAACCACGTCCAATCGCCAATGCAAGGCTCGCTCATGGGTCTTGGCAACATCTGAAGGGGCCATCTAAGCACATGGCCTTGAAGCAATCCTGACAGGGATTGCAAACTCCTGTCTCGCCGCACAAGGCCGCCGTAGTGTGCTGTCGGACAGCCTTGCAACGCAGCACTGTCACGCACGGGGTAAAATAGTGTCTCGCACACCTTGCCTGCGTGGCCGCAACTTTGAATGATGCTGACGCGGCTTTCTGTACAAGTCCCACTCGAGCAGCGCGAGCAGCTGCCAGCATTGCTCGCAGATCTCAGATAAAACCAAGAAAGCGAAGTTGTTCGAACACACATCACCCAACTGCCGTTGTGTGTGTGTGTGTATCCGTGCTCGGCATGTGTGTCTTTGTCAAGTTCAGTCGCCTGGCAGCTGCGGACGTAGCGATGAAGCCAGCTGTCCCTCTTCAGTCATTGCAAGGAAACAATGGGAATTCACAAAAGGGGGAAAAAAGGACTAAAAAATACCCCTTATAAAATAACAAAACAAAAGGCATCTCTGTCCAAGGGCCAACCACTCAGCCGAAAGCTCTTGACACTAGGCGACCTGCATGAGGCTTATCTACCGCTTGGCCATCTCGGTCTGCACGACCTCCAAACGAGTCGAGGATCACTTGTTGAAGTGCGAGAACCCAGGCTTTGAAAAAAAACACTGTCTAGTTTTGATCACAGCCCGCGAGCCGAAAAGGCGTCTTGCATAGTAAGAGCATGAATGCAACACAGACGCAGCACGGCCCTGCCAGTCGTTTTCTATTCCCAGGCCTTTGGATCACCTTTCCAGGCCCCACGAGAGCAATCTCGCAACATGAGCACCATTCTCCAGACTCGAAAGTTCGATCTTATGACTTGAGACCCTCAGGCTGAACCGTTTAGATCAACTTGCCAAGAGAACCTGCAAAGGTACTCCTATGGATTCGCGGCAGATGAGCTTTGCGGACGACAATCGCATAAGTCTACTGCAGATTTGGGAAGGATCTGGGAAGGCCTACCTGATTTGCCTGACAAAAAAGCAGAGAACAGTCATTGGTGCTGCAGTATCGTCAATTGTTACCACTTTCAGTTTGTGTGTAATGTTCAAAATTAGCAATTATGTCGCGATGATGTGGAATGCAAGTCGGCCATTTGCGGCTCAGAACCTCGGGCGAACAATGACACATGGCCTAAGAATGGCTCCGGCGGCCTCCATTCCCACGGCCGGCGCTGATGTCAAGCTTTGGCACGGCCCGGTCTCGGCATGTGAATCCCACTCTGTGCGTGTGGCAACACCCAAAACCCCAAGCGCAAAGCTTCCCACATGTGCAGTCAAAACTCCGCGGGAATATCGTGGCACGCAAAGCGCATTGAAAAGTCCTCGCCTCCATGACTCCCCCACACCTGGCACACGCCCGAGGGCACCAAGGGATTGCCAAGGCGAACAGGGAGGCGTAAAAGGCCGCCTTTTCACAAACTGCGCTTTGGATCGCTGGGCAACTGTCTCAAACTTCCTCGATATTTCGGCTGGCCTCTTGCCCACTCAGATAGTCCTTGTGAGACACCAAACACGCATTGGTTATCAAATTATCCAAGCATGAAAGAAACAATCCATTGGCACTTCGAAAATTGAGCCTTGCTTGTAGCGGGTATGAACGGCTATGAACAACAAATGCATTAAGCTCACCAGATAGGGTGCAAACAAGGCCGCTCTCAACTTGCCCGATCAAACAACATGGATTGGCGTTTTGGTGACCCTCCTCAAGCTCTGCATGTCGCATCGTTGCAATGAAACATCTGCCAGCTGATTTGGCAATGCATCTTAAGAGCTGGAACCACCGCAAAAGTGGTCGGTCCCAAATGAATCCCCACCTAAATGATGTCCACCAGAGGCTCCCCAAATCTCAATTCACCACACCCATTTGAGAACGGAGGCCAAGAAGAAACGGGTTGCGGCACGGAACGAGGAGGATACACCGAATACAGCACTCCGTTTGCTCCGCCTCCGGCTGGAGCGAAGTGCCATTGAAAATGATGGCTTCTAGCTCGCTCCCATTGCCATAGGCCTACGAGAATGCGAATCAGTCCACAAAGCAAAGCACAAAGTGCTGAAGTGAACGGTGAATGGCCTTCACAACATTGGGCTTTTTTATGAAAACAGAAACAAATGTATATATAATATAAAAACCCAATGCCTTGATTTTTGATGAAAACCCAATGCCAGTGGTGCATGGCAACTTCAAAACACCCGACCATCTCCGCCTTGTGCCGCTGAGGCAGGTCATAGCGGGTCTTCGGCCCGAACCTGTCGCGGGTCTCGTCTCGCGCCCACTGCTCGAAGGCTATGCCTAACAATTTGTTTACTGATGATATGTGCTTTATTGATGCTTAATAGGTCTTATAATAGTGTATTGATAAGTGTTGCATTAATAAGTATTGATAAGTGTTGTATTGATATTATTCATTGATGCCTAATAAATTTTCGTGAATATCCCCTTCAGCCATGCCTGCTGCCAGGATAGAGTGTCCGCGAGGGTCTAAACCTCAGCAGAGCCAATCCGACACGAGACGGCTGTTCAGTTTTGCCTAAGGCAACAGCATCCCGCGGGATGGTACATCCATGGGCTCCACCTCTGCAAATTCCACAGCGCTTAACTTTCAAAGCCGTGGTCCCTTCCTTTTGTCCCGCTTGAAGGGCAATTTGGGGTCCCCTAGTCTGAAGCAAATCCGATTTTTTCTGCAACCCCGCCCCCCGCCCAAAATAAAAGGTGCAAAGGCTAAGATTAACATGTGTGCATGAGGATATGCTGCCTCAAACACATGGGTGTTCCAAAGGTTGCTCTCACTCGACCATTCCACATTGCGGCATGTGTTCTTCAGATCGGGACCATCGATGGAAGCCAGGACAGCCCCCGCGGCTTTGAGCCACGCTTACAGAGGGCCTCTGATTGGCAAAGTCTGGTGGCACCACATTCGCTGCCAAGGTCGACATGTATCGAGGAAACGCATCTATGTGTTTTCCATTTGCACATCTGCCTTCAGTCTCGCCGCTCCATTCACATACCAGTGGAGCGAGAGAGAGGTGTTCTACATTGGCGCACGTACCTACCACACCGGACTTTGGCATGGGTTCTGTTGCAAACAAACTGTCAACCGTCCGCCAAGCGACATTAGCTTCACACACAAACTTAGAAGGATTGAAGCTGCTGGAAGAGCTGGCATCAATCGTGCCTGCCATCTTGCCCACGTGGCCATCCTTCAAGCCGGACCTTTTTGATGTCGAGAGAATATCTCGGCACAAAATAGACAAAGTGGATTTGCTGGCCACCTGGGCAAACTGCCTAAGGCTTGCCGTTCTCTTCTTTTGAGTGTGCCAAGAAACTTTACTTGTCTCCAAATGGTTCAGTGGAAACCACAGGCCACTCAACTGCCTACAATGCACGAATTACCGGGCTTTCAGGCTTGCTCCCATGCCCCCATGGAAGTGAAACAGAAACGCCCTGGCCAAAAACGCCACCTGCTCCGGCTGCCCAACCCACAAAAGCAATGCCCGCACGCGGCATTGCCAGGGCAGCTTAAAGGGCAGTGACGTTCCAATATGGCAATTGCATAAACAGAATCTGCGCTAGCATGCCATCAGCTTTGTCTTGCGATCTGCATGCCGGTCGCCTGCGCAATGGCTGCTAGCGAAACGAGCCGTCAAAAGCTTGTGCATTCTACACACCTTCCAGGCGCTCAAAAGTGGTAGGCCTTCAGCTCAGGCATCGCAATGCCCATGCACCTGTCACCACGCTGAACGCCGGAACGCCGAAAACGAGGGGCGAGATTCTCAGCCTGTTGGCGCTCCCGCAGGCCATGGATGTTCTCCTTGTTCTGCCTGTCAATGTTGTCCAAGTGTTCGTACAGGCTGCCAGGCCAACAAACGCAAGGCGGCCTTCCCTTTGCTTTCCAGTAAGCTTTGTCCTTGGCGCACAACAGCTGCTCCGAACTGCGACCATCGGCCCGCACCTTGATCTTCCGCGCATTCTCCTTGCCAGCAACCGCCTGGAGAAGAATGGCACCGAATTCAACACATGCGGTGAACACATGGCCATGGGTCCAAATCCCGTTCCCCTGTGAACATCCCAATCCCCACTAAAATAGAGTAAAATGGGTGGTGCACCTACCCCAAAATGGTACCATTGGTTTTGACCCACAGCCGCATGCCACGCCTTCTCGCTCAGCATGGCTCCAGGTGTTTCACTCACCTCTTGCTCGGCAAGGCACAGCCCCCATTTCCCCTTCACAGAGACGCGACCCGCCTCTCTGGCGCTGCTTGGGGACACTGGCCCTGCTGGAAGCGGGCTGAGGGCCGCTGGCATGGCCTTCGCTCAAGACTTGAAGACTCAAGCCTCACAGGCTTAAACCAGAAGTGCGCACCTTGGCTGGCGATGCGCTGGGCTTCGTCGGCACATCCTCAAAGGAGCTTGATGCAAAGCAGAGAAAGAAATTGGCCTTCCTGAACATTTCTCAGCAGGTTCTGAAAGGAAGAAACATGCCAATTGTCATGGCACGCAAAGCAATCTCCACGTGCCTGCTTCCCTTCCTGCGCAATCCCTTTGTGCACTGCCGGGTCTGCAGCAGGCATCGGCTCAATCGCCGGCGACACCTTGGATTGGAGCATGGACCCGTGCAAAAGGGATTAAATCGAAATGTTCGGGCCTTGCTCAGAAGAAACATATCTCTTTCTGCCTGTTTTACACCAAGTCGGGCTCTCTTCGAATTGATTCCTGGACCGCCCATGTGTTTGCCGAGTCATGCTCACGTGCCGTGTTTCATTGAGGCCATAGGGTGGGATGGGCACTTTGATGCACTGAGCAATGCTGGATGCTAAGCGCACGGCTTGTGGCACCTCACAATAGTAGTACGTCAAAGCCCCAGTTGCCGCTGTCCGTGCCGGCGCCTGAGACTTCCATACGCTCTGCATATCCTGTATGCAAGCCGCCTCTGCCCCCAGTGAAGGCAAGAAGGGAGGCATGATAGCGCACTCAGGATATGCAGCTGCGGCAGCTGCTGCAGCGTACCTCCGTCAAGGCACTTTCACATACAATCCAAGACACTACAACTTCAGTTGTGACGAACTAACTGAGAGATTGGTTTCGAGCGAGTCAAAATCCTGTGTCCTGCATTGTTCCCAGTTTGCATTGTGATAGGTCACACTGGCATTGCAAGTGGTGGCGACTGCGTTTACGGTATTGCGTGATTGGAGTGCTATCCGGACTTCAGAATTGTTTTGCCGGTTGGAGGTCTGCTAAAATGAGGCACTTCTTTGGCTGCTCTCATTTGTCTTGATTTGCCCTTGAGAATCATCATGTGCCAGTAGGCGGCAAGGAAATCATCATGGACATCATTCAGCTTGCTTTGTGTCGTTGCTGTTGCTGGCCATACCTGATCTGCAAAAAGGGATGGAAGTTTGACTGCGAGCGCCGTCTGTCAATTTCTTGCGCTGGCAAGTTTGATTTATGGGCCATAGAAATGCTGTGTACCCAAAGCTAGATAGCCAAAGGAATCCAGATGGATACAATGCCACCAGAACCGAGGCAGCAAATGGCATGGAGTGTGACATGTTCACCAGGAGACTAGCAAGGTTCAGCACAGGTCCAGTGGTGGCCTCGTTGCTCTTCCTGTTTGCTGTACGACGTGCAAGGTGTGGAGTTGTTGCACAAAGTACACATATGGCAGTGGGTCACAAATAAGGTACCCAAAATAGAACCATGGTAAATGGAACCCAGGACTAAAACCTGCGGTCCGCTGGTTTTGCAGTCTTGACCCACACCCAAATTGAGGCGTTGAAATGGTATCCGACCAAAAGTTACCTTGACGCAAGGATGATGCAAAATCACACATTTGAGGCTTGCATCAACCTGGAGGCTCCGCCAAGTGGGCGGCAAAATGGACCGAAAGGAAGTCTCAAAGTCTTGAAGTCTATCGTCGTTTATAGCCACCCAACCCACCCACCCACCCACCCACCAAACCCACCCACCCAACCCACCCACCCAACCCACCCACTCAACCCACCCACACCCACCCAACCCACCCACCCAACCCACCCACCCCACCCACCCACCCAACCCGCCCAACCCACCCACCCACCCAACCCACCCACCCAACCCACCCACCCAACCCACCCACCCAACCCACCCACCCAACCCACCCACCCCACCCACCCACCCAACCCACCCACCCAACCCACCCACCCACCTACACTCAAGTGCTTCATTCTCACAGGACTCTCACAATTCCCAAATGAGCGAACCTCGCCATGTGCTGGTGATAGGCAGTCAATGCAGCGCATGCGGCTGCTGCATCATGTTGAGGCCTTCAGCTTGCAAGTCTGACTGTCATTAGACTGTCATACTTCGGAATGCCAAGCGCAGCTGGAAATCGCCACTACTTGTTGATGCGGGGGGAGATTCGGGAAGTAAATCTCAGCAGCCAGCGCGTAGAAGGGATGTTCACCTGCTGCCTGACATTGACACCCTCACGTCAACTTGGCAAAGATATTCAGCGAGGCAGCAGCGTACATCGTCATGCTCTGGTCCCAGCTGTACCTCGCATGCAAATGGGCATGCGCGATGATGGCAAGGCCTACCACAAGACACTGAGGACAGCACATGTCAGAATACATCGGCACAGGAAACTGTTGCATCTCACTGACCTTGTCGAATAGCTTGCACATATTCAATGAACAACCCAGCAATCAATTTGGGGCAAGACTGCATACTGTTGGCCAGAATACTGAGCTGTCATGCCTGCAAAACTTGTCACACACACACACACGCATTCCAGCACAGCAGTTCCAGTTGGAGAACCACTAGAAAAATGATATTTCAACCACAAAATGTGGAAAAATACCCATGGTCACATTCGGGGGCCAGGAACATTCATCAAGCCCCACATGTTCATCCTCACAAGAGCGGCCTGATCCTTGGAGCTGATCCGAGGCTTGATGGCTTCCTCAGGCACACGAAATTTAAGAACCAAGCAGTGCAAGGCTTTCTGCGGACCTGAGGGCAGCACCTGTTCGCACCTTGTGCGAAGCACAAGTCGTGACAACTTCCGTTTGCTACGAACTGGCGATTTGGCAGCCACACGTGAGAGGAAGGCATCTTTGGTTTTTCGTTCCACCCCTCTTTGGTGCAAAGTGAAGTCAGCGGAAACTTCAGCTTCCATGCTCAAACTTTAACAGCTCCAATGGTCATGATTGATCAAGCTGCGCAGAATCACAAGTTCTAGCTCACGTGAAAAGTAGGGTCTCGGCCTGCGACCAGCCTGGCAAATGTGCAAGCTTAAAAACCCATTGCCAGCAGAAGACTTTGCCTGGGTGATCTTTCCCTGCAGCCAAGGAGGCCTGCATGGCACTTCCGCCGTGCACTTTGCATCTCATGCATTTTAACATGCCACTTTGCCTCGAGCATGGCGACATGGCCACTGGGAAAAGATCGTTCCCGCAAGTACCTGGAGCGCCCCCATCGCCAGGTGTCCGCAGGCCACCGAATGGCCCACAGCTCAGCGCGCACTCCAAGAGCTCGTGGCCGAGGGCTTCATTTGCGCCACCCAAAGCCTGCAGGACGCGCACTGCAGCTGCTGGCAGGAGATTGGGGGGAACGGCCTCGAAGCAATGCTTCAAGTTGTCCAAGCCCACCTTGAGTAGATCATGCGTGAGCCGTTCGAGTATGGCAACTGTCATGGAAATTGTGTGGGCAGAGGTCGGACCAAAATACACTTCGTCACGATAGCTAGGTGCGTTTGAAAGGCCACGGGGCAATCTGTTGCAAGCTATGAACCCTGGGGAGCTCTGGCAGCCGTCGAGGATGCCTCAAATGACGTGTACAATGGTGGGCCAGCACTCCTCAAATTAGCAATCTCCAGGAGAAGGTACTGCCAAGAAGAGCAGCATTTGGGGACAACCTACACTGACAATGGCCATGTCGGCGAGTGTAGCTCGACAGGTCCTGTCTTGACTGGAAAAGGCGGACTCTGCGTCCAATACTGCAACCAAATGCAGAACTTGCCACGGGCAAGATATCCCAGCCCGTCGTCTCCAAGCATGCGAAGGTCATGCGTGCTGTTCCAGCAAGGGCAAATGATCCCGCAGCTGAGGCTGCGAAGAAGCAAGACAAGGAAAAAGTCGCAAATGAAAGTAGGCCCAAGATGCCTTTCACACTTGTTTGCACAGCTTCGAAAAGTGCCGACAAGTAAGACAAGTCCCTGGAAAAGGGCGCCTGAAAAAAGGAAGCCACGGGCTGATATGCCCAAACTGCATCGAAAATGGAGCCTCCTTTCCTGCCTTGTTTTGCACCTTGCCCTCATGTACCAGTCCTGCCTTTCGCGTCTGATGTTGCTGCGTATCCAGCAAGTATCAAAATTGACCCCAGACATACCTTGTGACAGCTGAAGCACTGAGATCCCCACCGCACAGTTCCGTCGAGATCCAGTCGCAAACTCGCGAACTGCAAGTCAGGACCGCAAATCACTTCGAATGCTCCATGCTTCCTATGCTTCCTGCCTAAACGGGCCATGCTCTCAAGATCTCCATGCTGCACACATGCTGTCAGCAGGGATGACACCATCACCTGCACCGAGGCAAGCCGGCCACCCTGCCAGCCCCTCCCCCGCGATGCGATCCCAGCTATCACCAGCCACAGCCAAGCACCTGGTCTGGCAGCTTGGAGTTCTTGCTTGAAGCCAAGTCGGTCAGAAGCTGAGCTGCATGGGCCTTGCATGAGGTCGGCACAGGTGATACACGAAGGACGCTAAGGCCTCCTTGGGACAATCCCCAATAAACCGGTACCGTGAGGGGAAGGGTGGGGGGCTTCTAACAGACCCTAAATGCGTCTGTGTGTGTGTGTTCCCCGAAGGCGTCTAGAACCCTCCATGATGCAGAGGGAGTGAGTCTGTGTACATCACGTTTTGCCTTCAGGTATAGCCTGGTGATTTCTGTTCGGCCCCATTCCCAATTTAAGGTGCTAACAAGGAGCTTCTCAGGGGCATCAGTGAATCAGCATGCTCAAGGCAGGCACCAGCGCTGGTCTTCCAGTTTGGCAGGTGCATCGCAGCAGGGCCTCGAGGGTGATGTCAGTCGAGAAGCAAGTAGATAGGCCGGTGTGTGGAAACAACTGATACGGATTGGAGTGAGGGGAAGTTGCACAAAGTATGCAACTAGAGCTGCCATGATCAATTGAGGAACCAAATGACTCTGACTGGAGCAAGCAGCCCTAAGTAACTGACGGTATAGACGGTGCGCCAATGCAAGCAGCGATACTTCGGCTGCATTTCCTCGACCTGCGTTCCCAGCTTGTAACGTGCAAGGCACAAACTCTGCTTGAAATGACGCTCTGAACAATACGAACGGCTCCAAACTTCAGGCATCGCAAGGTGTGCGCTCGGCCGCACCTTTTTGACCCCTCTGAAACAGGAGCGGGCTCGCTCAAGCGAATCCGTGGTCCTCCCTCGGGCCAAGCTCTGTATCTGTGGGCGAGGCAAAGCCGTCCCCTTCGGCTTCGACCCCGCGATCGTCCAGCACGACCCACTCCATGGACTCTATGTCAACATGAGCTTGGTCTCCTTTGCACAAAGTCTCCAGGATCTCGGTCACCTTGGCCAAGCTCGGCGCAAGCTCTTGGGCCTCGGGAAGCAGCAGCTTTGCCTTCGCGTTGATCAAGGCAGCTGTCCACCAGGCACCATGCAAGGCGTGTTGCCCTAAGCTCTGTCCGGCCACCGCAAGTTTGCAAGCTGCCTGATGAAGCCGCGTATCTTCATCCACGAAATGTCTGAGGCTCAGCATCGTGAGGTCAGGCACAGGCACTGCCTTCGCTTCAGATCTGGGCCGGCTCACGTCGCTGATGGCAAGGCGCTCTCCGTTGGACAGCGAGGTCGACAGCCTCCAGACTCCCAAGGCTTCAAGCTCCTCCGGCTTCAAGAGCACGCGAGCAGCAAGCTGGAGCCGAGCGAACTGCTTCCACCTCTCGTCGCGCCAACCGCTGAAGTCTTGCAGAGTTGCCTCGGGGGTCATTGTCCTTAAAGCATCTTTGGCCGTCCGGCAAGGAACATCCGTGTGCTGCAGCTGGTGAAGAAGACTTCTGCACCTCTCCAGCAGTAGCGCACGCCCAGGCACTGACTGTCTTGGCAATCCCTCGTACGCAGTCATCAACCTCTTTGTTTTCTGCTGGATACGGCTTTGCAGCTGAGGGAAAAGCTGCTCCAAATCCAGCAATGTGGCCTCATGCACCGGCAAGAAGCAAATAAAGCTGGCGTAATCCTGCACGGCAGCTGAACAAATCTCCAGGCGCTGAAGCAGTGCAGAGAGCAGGCAGTACAGGCCATGCAACTCCAAGAAGACTCCCCAGGCTTCCTTCCCAAGCGCTTGGGCCTGGGACAAGCCGGTTCCATTCCCATCTCTCCAAACAGCATCCTCCACCCTTTGTACAATCTCCCGAACTCGCTGTCTGGTGTAGGCAGAACCGTCAGTGCGGCCCAGGAGCTTCGCCCAGTCCTGCGAACTAAATCACTCATTGTCCAGGCTTAGACCTGACCCTGTCTCCTCGTTGTCCTCGATGCATTCTGGAAGAAAGCAAGCAGCAAGCCAGTCAACCTGTTCAACTTTCGCTTTTTTGGAACTCACTGCAACTTTGGGGCCCGTGCACATTGCTGCTGCTCCATGTCAAGCATATGAAAAATGATTTGGTCCTCCATCCAGTATCACCCGGACTAAGGAAAGGCAAGAAACGCGCACAGACTCTCAACGTCCTCCAAGTTGAAGAAGGCAGTAGAGCCAGAAAGGCCGGCCGGGCCGGCCTAATACAACTCACAATCACAGTGTGTCGCGCGCGTGGGCAATGTTCAAGCACGATCGGCCCAACACGTGCCTTGGCCAATTGGCGAAGATCAAAGTACGAGCAGCGATCTGTCGCCGGTTTGGCGCGATGTCCTATGTACAACCTCGGGCTGCACAAGAAAGAGAGAGAGAGAGAGAGAAAGAGAGAAACGAACCCAACATTGTCTTGTAAAACCTCTGGCATCGCCAACGGGCTGTTGGTTCAGGCATTGGCGATGGGCAGGGGTTTCAGGTTAGAGTTTGGGGTTTAGGGTTGGTTTAGGGTTTGCTTCCATTTCTACAGGATCTTCAAAAAGAACCCGCTCCAGAAGTCTTGTAGGGGGTTTCCCCAGGACCATTTGAGCTCCTCTTGCAAAGGGTCGCTTTACAGGATCTGTAAGAAGATCTCTGTGCAAGATCTTTCCCTCGGAATCTAGATCCTGTGCAAGGTCCCTTGAATGTTCTACGCAATTTGCGCAGGAACTCAGTACGAGATCCCTTTGCAGGATCTTGACAGGATCCTTGCACACGAGCTTCTCACAAGGTCTTTATAAGATCTCCGTACAATTTACATAAGAGAAAAGAGAGAAAAGACGGGGTCGACTTGAAAAGCTTGCTGTTTTGCGTAGAAAGAAAAACCTGATACAGAATTTACACAAACTTAGACAGACAGACAGATAGACAGACAGACAGACAGACAGACAGACAGACAGACAGACAGACAGACAGACAGACAGACAGACAATAGATAGATAGATCGCAAAATGGATAGATGGACAGACACATAGATGGACAGGTAAATTAAGTGGGTTGAAATAGGAAGGTAGAAAGATTCTCAAGCAAGGTGCTTTCGGAAGAGTTGCCTTGCTTAAATCTGCTTGTTCGAGCAAGTGGGTTTGGCTGACGTTCTTCAACGGCTGACTGCGGATCAGACTTAAAGATAGAAAGGTGATCCAGTGTCACGGGGCAACTGTCGATCAGCCTGGCTTGCCGTCTTCCGGCAGCCACGACTCTACGAGGCCTCTACGTCGAAATCGAGAAGGTCGAATTGTTTCGCTCAGCACTGCGTTTGCGCAAGTACGCTGACCCGCGTATGACTCCAAAGCGGCACATTGTATATGTACATACATGTGTCACACTGTTCGGGGAACCATGAAACCACATGTTTTTTGCTGACCTACTTTGTGTCCCGGGCCCGCCACAAAACTAGCAAAACTAGCAACACCACGCAAAACCAGCAACAACAATTGCAGCCTCTGGTCCTCTGTCACAGCTGCTAGTTGTTGCTTTAAGGTCTGGCCCCAGCACGCAAGCATGAGCATCAAGCGATCGCGGCGCAAGAGCCGTTTCTGTTTAGGGGACGTGCACGTTTGCAGACTTCACGCCAGCACACTCTTCTCACCAGCACACGGAAGACTGAGCAGGAACTATGCTTGCGTTCTTTTGCAGGGAGGGCCGCCATTTTAGAACATCGATTGGCGATCATTTTGCGACACACGCGCAATATCAAGGTCATTGTGCAACACATGGACGCCAATAAGGATCATTTCTCAACACAGCGACCTTCGTTTGCGATCATTTTCCTGCACACGGGCCAAGATCCCGATCAATTCGCAACACTTTGGCTGATCATGATACAACACACGAATATAAAGGCCGATCACATTCCAACACAAAGACCAAACAACGACCCAGCAGCATCACGCCTGCCAAATGAGAAGCACACCCACTCAAGCGCGCACACTCCTCACTGTATCCACACCTGCCAGGTTGACAGCAAGCACACCCGCCCCAGCAGCGCTGAAATGCACCCGCTCAGCACTGGTGTGGACTGCACCCATGCCACGGCAGCAAACGGCAAGCGCACCCACTGCACATGTCGTGGACTGCGGTGGAAACCGCGGAAGTCGTGGAAGACTGAAAAACTATGAAAACCATGGAAACCATGGAAACCATGGGAACCGTGGAAACCATAGAGACCATGAAACCGTGCAAACTATAGAAACCCATGAAACTCGTGGAAACCATAGAAAGCATGAAAACCGCGGAAACGATACCACACATGGAAACCATAAAACTATGGACCCATATGCATACATAGTTGTGGGTATTGTATGCTTTGCATCATGCCTCCAAACATTGTTTGAAGGGTGGGCACCGGCTTGGATTCGGGTGTGCGTGGGTTTACGGTCCAAAAGCACGAAGCCGCAAAAGGCAGCAAACCCAGACAAGGTGCGCTTGTGTTTTTTTTTTCATGTGGCCCAGTCAAACTTCCTGGCCAGGAAACAGCTCCAGCAAAAAATCCGCTCCATGGCGGGCACAGTTGTGCACCTGGCAAGAAGTCCGATGCACAGCTTCCGCGGTATCAACACGCAACACGCACACGCGCACGGCGCACGCGCACGGCGCACGCCTCTCGTAAGGCCTCCCGCAACTGCCGAATCGGTGCGAGGCGCACCTCCTGGCAACCACCAAGGTGCGCACCCCGAAGGACGCACAGGGCCACAAAGGGCCGACGTAAAACCAAGACTCAAGACAAATGACATGAGTCAAAATCAACTTGTTATCAAGGAGTCTCAACCCCATGTGAAGAATGAAAAAAGCCCCACCTATTCTTAGTTGGGACCATCCCCCTGTATAACTCTCCTCTACCCAGGCTTAGTTGCGGCTCAAAACTTTCTCTCGCCCTCTCTTTGCAGCGGCCTCCAGCCTAAGGTCAAGCAAGGTGAGTCGGCATCTGCTCAGGGCCTGGGGCAAGAGGAGCTAGGCAGCGAGGAGCTACACATGCGATTGGCCTCCTCGAAATTGGAAGCATGTGCCCAGTTGCTGCGCGTGAATGGACGGGTGTCCTGCGCAAATTTTAAATGGCAACATGGAGCAGCAGCCCCACGAGCCTCGATCTTCAGGAGGAATTCGGTCCACCACTGCAGTGCCTCCGTAAGAGAAATGATAGCTGTCAGCCTGCTTAGCAGAAACTGCATTCAAGTTATTTAAATATGACAAATGCAGCGGCAAGGGCCGATGCAAAACTCCGTGCCTCAGCAGCATTCTGCTTCTCTGTCAAATCCATCGCAAACTTTGCCAGGCAGCCTGCAAAGACCTCAAGGCATGGAGGCTTTGCAACATGGTGCTAAGACAACTTCTGGCATCCTTGGGGTCAAGCCGTCCGAGCATTCACTTGGGAGCCCTCCTCGCGGCCAGCTTCCAGCATAGCAGCTGTGTGTTAGGAAGGTACACAGACGCAAAGAACGGAACCAGAGCCCCTGAAAAGACAAACCTCTTTATCTCTGTGTAACAGCATCTCAAAATCCATGTTGGTGGATGGCAAAGCAAAAAGGTTCTGCACAAGACAAAAATAATCTAGACACCAGGCTGGCAAACGCAAGTCCTCGCCAAAGTAGCGCCGAAGCTCGTCGATCACCTGGCATGTTGTTCACGTAGCTGGATATCTGTGACGGCATGAGTGGAACAGCTCTCTCTTCACTTCCAGCTGAGCCAAAATGCGTCTCTCGGCGTCTCTCTCTCTCTCTCTCTCCCCTCTGTGTCTCTCTGTCTCTCGCTCTCTCTGTCTCTCTCTCTCTCTCTCTCTCTCTGTCTCTCTGTGCCTCCGTGTGTCCTCCGTGTGTTCTCTGTGTGTGTGTGTCCCTCTGTGTTTGTGTCTCTGTGTGTGTGTGTCTGTCTTGCTCCCGCATTGAGAAACGTTTTCTTAACCTCACCAAGAAGAATTGGGTCCAGCAAAAGTACTAACAAAAACCACTGGTTTGTCGAGGTTGAGCATGGAAAGCAAGGACCAAACAAGCTCTTGCAGCTTGGGGACCAAGGCAGACTACATTCAATCATCCCCATCATAATTCAGGTGCAGGTTGATCAAAGGTCCTTGACATGGGATGACCTTTGGGGAAAACTATTAAAAAGACATTTCCCACTAGCGGCAAAAGTTACCTATGATCGGTTGGGGGTCAGGAATATTGATCAAACCCGGGTGAGTCATCCAGTGAACTAGTGCTGAGTGTCAGCTCCTGCTCACTCCTCATTTTCGGTTTGGGCAACAGACTCTTGAGAGTTCACCTTGATATTGGCGCTTGAACTCAGAGGGTTTCGGTGCAATCGACAAGCCCAACCATGGATCTGATAAAACTTGGTGCGGCCCACTGATGCAGCAGCTCGACGTGCGCCAGGATCCGCAGAGGTTCTGGACAACCTCTGGCTCAGTTGGTGCCTCGAAATCAAGCGCGTGGCCTTGACCAAAGTATGCGCAGAGAGCGTCTCAAGAGCTTCGGGGGAAGAAAACAAATGCGTAGGTGTCGTCCCTGACTCATTCGAGAAAATGAATGTCAACGCCAAAGAATGATCAGGTGATTGGAGTACATGCCCGGAGGTATCTTGCAGGAAAGTATGATTGAAACCCCCGACGCGAGAAGCTGTCACGTCAGTTTTCATCCCACCTCAAAAAAGGCCACCAAGCTGCAATAGCTCATGCACGTCAGAGTCAATGCTGGCGTCGGAGAGCCTGCCCAGCTGCACTCAACTCATGAAACGCACGAAGTCACGAAGCGGACGGGCCTGACTTGCTCAGGGCAGTTTGGAGGCATCAGCCCCTCAACCTTGCTTGCCAAGTTTGCGATGCAATTGCCGCCAAATGCAACCTGCCTCTTTCAGAAGTGCCACATCGCTGGAGCTCAATGATGAACTGGAGAACAGCAAAGATGAAACCTGCCATCCTGACAATGTCATTAAATCCCCAGCCAATTGTCGTCCGCTAGCACGCCTGGTGTGAAACGGCTCCCCAACACCCTGTACAAAGTCATGCTTTGAGCCGCTTTTGCGGTAGATGCCAAGGAACAAGCTCGAGCATCTACAAGAGCTCCGCACAAGTGACCAGGCATGCTCCACTCACTTGAGAAGGCAAGAACGCAACGGCAGCAAACATGCAGGCACTGAGGCGGGACCAAGCGAAATGCTTCCTCAACTTGCCCCGCCTCAGTAGAGCGACACCGACTGCAAGGAAACTCGAAACTAGGCTGGAATTGCCCAGCAAAAAAAAATATATTTTTTGCCTGGTTGGTGGAAAACAAAGGGACCCCCAAAAATGTAAAAAATCCCAAAAGGGTAGCTAATTCTGAGGAAGGAAAATGGCCCAGCCTCAAAGTAGAGTTTCACGAGGATTGAGAAGGTGATGTGTGATGGTTGCACGCGAGACCGCAGCATGTCCTCAAACACATCCAAGCCATCCTGCAGCCTTCTCGCTTTGGCGCATCCGTCAATCAAGCCGTTGTACATGATCTCGTCGCATTTGAGGCCTCTTGCTTTTAGCTCCCTTGACAGAGCGAGGGCTTTGTGCACTTCTCCGATGCGGCTGTAGCCTTTGATGAGCGTGCTGAAGGTGATGAGATCGGGCTCGATCTGCATCTGCATCATATCCTGAAGGAAGACCGCAGCGGTCTGCAGATCGCCGCATCGGACACAAACGTCCATGAGGGAGTTGAAGGTCACCAAGTTGCATGGCACTCCCTCGACCCTCATATCACGGTACAGCTGCATGGCCGTCGGCAAGTCCCGGATCTTGGCCAAACCCTTAATCAGGGTTGCATACAGAACGGTGTTCTTATGCATGCCCTGCAGTCGCATCTCCTCAAATATTGCCATGGCCTTGTCCAAGCTGTTGCATTTGACGCAAGCATCCAACACACAACCACAAGTGACTGGGTTGATGCCCAAGCACCGATTGCGCATCTGGTTCCAAACTCGGAGAACTGACTCCGTGTCACGAGCACGCCCATAAGCCTTGACAACCGTTCCATACGTCACAGCGGATGGAGCCACCGCATACTCGTTCATCTTGTTCAAGGTTTGCTGCAGCTTGGCCATGTCACCGTTCTGCCCCAAGACATTCAACAGCGAGTTGAAGACAATCTCATCCACATCTTCTCGCTGCTGCTCGATGAACTTCTCTACCAAGCTGATCCCCCTTCGCACCCACCGTCTGTCATTGGAGGACTCCAAGCTTTTGGTCAGAATGGACACAAAATATTTGTCCGCCTTTCGCCCGCATTTCAGCAGCAAATCGAGTACCTCCCAAGCTTCGCTCCAAGATCTGGTGCGGACGGTGGCATCCAGCATCGAGTTAAAGACCTGGTCCGAAGGCGCTCTGACACCTGGCTGACACATGCTCTGCAGGAGCTCGACCTCAGCAACACCGTCCTATGCTTCTTGAACTGGCAAAACATGTGCGTACACGCGGCGCAAAACCTGGGTACCAGCCCGTTCCAGAGGATTCCCTTCTGTCAATGTGCGAATGTGAAACCGCCAAACGGCGATGCATTAAGTCCGCTGCGGCCCGGCTGTACAGCTGCCCTTGGTGGAGAGCATGGAGAAGAAGCTCCAGGGACTCCGATCTCAGCCCTTCTGCGCTTGTCCTCTCCTTGATCTCCTCGACTTCCATATGTCAACTCGAAACATGCTCAAACTGTAGCCACCCTGTCACTCGTACAATGAAACTTTAGCTCACCAGCCCACCTCAAGTGCAAAGCAGCAAGCCGCTTCGCAGCGATCCTGCGCAACAGACTTCAGAAGGTAATTAAAAGTCGTGCTTCCCTTACCATGGCTACCACGGCACTGCTTGATTTGGATCATCAAAAGCTAACAATGGGCATGCGGCATGTCCTTCCGAATGTATCCTTCGATGACCAAATGGCGCACTGCAGCAAGCTCGGAAGGTCCAGCCTGATTCCCGGTCTGGCAACGTGTCCACGCGCATGCGTCCGAAGCACAAGGGCTCAGGCTTCACGGCACTCCTTCCGAATCACGGCCTCGCTACTGCGCAAACAAGCCTTGCAGTCATTGCCAATAAGTGGTGACCCAAATCTGGAGGAAAAAACAAAAAACAAAAACTAGGCGCGCAGCTGCTGCTTCATCCAATTCTCCATCTCGTGCAAGGCTTTCGGCAATGTGCAGAGCCTGGGCCAGATTGCAACGAGGCGTGAAAGGGCATGATTGTTTGACACCCGGTTTGACACCCCCGCCTCAGCCATCAGTCACAAGACTCTCCGAGAAAGGATGCCAAATAACTGCTGTCCAAAGCCCAAACGTTTCCGTCAGGTCAATACTGTCTCAAACTGTGCAAACAATATGGTCGAAAAAGCAAGATCTGGTTCGCGCTCCACAAATGTCAAGAAGTTGTCGGTGCCAGCCGTGATTGTTTGTGTGACGATCATTTGCCAAGCAGGTCCAAGCAAATTGAATGCACAGCATGTGATGTTCTTTCACAATAAAGCGTCTCATGTATGTGTGTGTGAGCTGATGCAAAATCACGGATCACGGGCGTGAACTTCAACACATAAGAGGCCGTAGTTCTGTCTTGGTTTGGACCCTTCCCGGAATCATAGCCTTTTGCTTGCACAATTTCCTCATGGCTTACAAGCCTACTTTCGTAAAATTAAAGCGTTAAGGCATGTTGCACTGCTCCTAGCTTGAACCCAAACATGAACACCCAAAAGAACAAAGCAAGTCCGAAGCCGCGTGCCCACGCCCAACGGTCCGGAGACCGAATGGTCCGGAGACCAGAGTTGGTCCGCAGACCAGAGTTGGTCCGGAGACCTGGTCCGGAGACCAAGCGGTCCTGAGACCACCAACGAAAGTGCAGAGCGTCTGCGACCTATGCTTGCAGAGCCTTGTATAAGGCAGTGCAGGGTGGGTGGGTGGGTTTCAAATGAAACCGCAAGTTTGGGTCAAGGCTAGGAGCAAAACGGCCACCGCGTAGTTCGATTCACAACATGCCCTAAACACAAGGGAAAAGAAACCCTAAGCGTTAAGGCATGTTGCACTGCTCCTAGCTTGAACCCAAACATGAACACCCAAAAGAACAAAGCAAGTCCGAAGCGGCCGCAGTTCTTTTTACCGGGATTGCTGAAAGTAGCACTGCTTCCAGGGCACTGGTGCGCCTGGAACAGGAGGTGCGTTGACCCCCCCTTCAGTGTTTCAGGCAACCCCGGTATAAGCGAGCCAGCTGGGCCGCCGGCCTCATCACCCGCCCTTCAGAGTGGGGTTGTACCTGGCAGGGCAAATGTCCGCGTGACAATGCACGCTTGCGGCTGTGAGCAGCCTGTTGCTCAGGGTCTGCACTTTTTTCGGTCAGAGCGGCTTGATGTAAGCGGCTGGCTGACGCAGCCAGTTGTTCTGGCTGCCAGGGCGAAGACGGCCATTTGGTCGCAATGCATGTTGGGATGCAAATCAGGCTGGCTAAGCAGTGCTGGAGGCAGCTGCCAGGTGTTCCGGGCGCCAGGGCGCATCCATCGGACACAGCTGAATGCCTCGGCCTGACATTGCTAGGCCCGCAGGGCTGAAGCGTATGCGACTTTCAGGGCGATGGCTGAATCGGGCCAACCGACCTCTGCTGAGATCGTCTGCCCAATCATTGCACCTTCCTGGAACGTGCGTTGGCTGCAGCAGCACATTGTGAGCGTGAGCCCAGAAGGCTGTTAACTGCACGAAAAGTTGCAACGGCCAGGAGGTCGTGAACAACTTGTTAAGGCTTGCTTCCGTTGCGGAATTGTCCGTGCCTGAAGGCATGCTGAACGAGTAGTGCCCACCACCAATGTGGCTGTGGGTTGCTTGCAGTAGTGCTAACTGCGCCAGCGTCTCGAAACATGCGATGTACCGCTGTCCAGGCTTGACAAGGCAAGGCCATACGGCCCGTATGTCCCGCATGTTCCAGGTTTCGGCAAACCAAACCACTTGGGAGGATGTGATTGCCCAGCCCCCTATCCCTACCAAGTCGTCTTCGGCACACGCATCCGCTGCAGCCAGTGCTTGCAGCTGGTGTGGCCGCGCCAAGGGCTGAACGGGTGAGTGCTGAAAGCACAACGCCAGCCATGTAAGGCATTGCTGGCTTGACTTGGAAAGGCTAGTATATGGGTTATTGGGGTCCGCGATGCGCACACGTGGGTTTGCTAGTGCCGAGCACCCGCGGGATGTCCTGAGGGCAGTGCATGGTGCGACCTGATATTTCCAAGATTTTGGAGCCCACTGTGATCCACAAGCCGGGAAGTTTTGAGATCCTTGTTCAAGGATGCTCTGAAGGCTGACCACATTTGAGGCGGTATCGAGTGCATCGAGCCTGGTGGGCTGTTGAGGTCCGAGTATAGTGGCGCTAGCCAGGATCTCAGATGCAGTGCAATGCTGGTGGCCCAAATGAGCAGGCCTATGCACTGCTCGAGTGTTTTGCGGAGTACCCGTCGGCTCGCAGTGCACTCTTTTCATTTTCTTGTAACTTAGGAAGTGTTTTCGGTGAAGCCTTGGCCCTTTTTTGCAACCCATCGCATTACATGTGCAGTCTACACAGTGCGTTGGCCCTCATCATGACCGATCCGTATGCAGCAGATGCAAGAAAACAGGCGTGGCGTGTGTATCACCCGTCAGCCCAAATGTTGCGGCCTGAATTGAAGCTGCTGCGGCGCAGGTACACCAACGAGCCTTCTGGTCAACACCTCAGAAGGTTGCAGGTACGTATGCCACCCACTTGCCCTGCATGCATTTAGGCTCGATGCCTTACCGCAGCAAGAAATTCTGGGGGAGAGCATTTTCATTTTCCCCCGATGGCCTTTCAGAAGAGATGGCAGAAGACCACCCGGCTTTCAGCCCACACAAGTCGTCAGGCCTTCTCGGCACACGTCCTGCAACTGCCGCCGAAGCTACATCGCCGGGAGCGACTACCAAAGCCAAACCATGGCTCAACCAAGCAGACTTGCCCTCAGACATGGATCACAGCAGTCGGGTCAGACCTTACCCGGTGCGAGCTCATGTGAATGATCTCCGCTTTCAGCTGCGGAGCCACCCAGCACTGCCCCCTTGCCCCAGGCTCTCGGTGGCAAATCAGAAACCAGGGTGCCCAGTTCCAGAGTGCATTCCATTAAGGTCCTGGGTGGACCCTTTTTCTTGCCCTCTGCCCAACTGCAGGCCTTGGCCTCGCAGTCCAGCCTTGCAGACACACACCAGCCAGGACCGCACAGGTCAGGCTCGCCCCAGTGATGCCCTTACGCCGCGTGTTCAGCGCCAGGCCTGCACTGCCCAGGCCATACGGCCCTGTTCGCCCGCCTGAGCCTTCATCAACTGCTCAGCTGCAGGCCACGCTGAAGGACAAGTGCACCGCCGAATGGGTTTTGATACTCAAATCGTGCGTCGCTGGCAGCATGCTAGCGCAAGCCCTGGAAGCCTCGCAACACCCACAGATCCTTGTCGAAGCATCTCTGCAGAAATTTTCAGGGGGCACGCTGTCGCAGTACCTCCGCGCCATCCGCCTTTTCCTCACCTTCGTAAATCAGTGCGTGGGTGATTTGATGCGCCTTACCCTGGCCCATCTTTCAGATTTCATCGCAGGCTGCCATGTGTCTCAAGCAGAGGACCGCGCTGCACTCAAGTGCAGCGCAATCATGATGAGTAAAGCCCTGTCTTGGTTTGCGCGCATTGGGCAGATATCAAGCCTGTCAGACTTGATGGGTAGCCCCTTAATCAAGTCCTTCGCCCACAACCCCAAACCACACGATCGACGTGAAGCCCTGCCTTTGCCACTTGCTATACTTGCAGCATGGGAGGAACACATAGTTTCCCCCGCTTGCACGCCCGCCGTGGTCAGAGAATCAAGCCTTCCGCTCTCTCGCTGTCTGCGCAAGCACTTCGGGGCCTGTGTTGGGCCACCAAGACAACTAGCCAGGGACAGCCCTTCGCACGCTTGCCGTTCGGTTTCCGAGGTGAAGACATCAGCACATCCTGGCTGGTGAAGTGGCTTGCCCTGCTCAGCCAAGCTTTAGACGCCACTCAGGCCGAATGGGGAGATTCATTTGTACCCGACTTCATTTTGCCCTGCATTCCAAACCTGGATTCTCACACATGCCCCAGCCTTTCGCGTCCGATGTCTTACATGCAAGCACTGGTATGCCTTCGCTGGGCCGTACAGTTGCCGTGGAAGTCGGAAGGCGGCTTGGAAAGAGCCGCCTTGGAATCTTCGGAAGCCGAATCCGAAGAAGAACCGCCAGACGAGCAAGCATGCTCACCAGACCCCTCGCCTTGCCCGCTGGCGCCAGCCCTTGCAGTCGATTCAGTTGGCATTCGTCTTGTGCCCTGGGGATCCGTACATGCCGTGCTGTGCACTCACGGCAACTCGGTACAGACGGCTTGCGGTTTGTATTTAAAGCAGTGCTCGTACCCTGTGCATCAGATTCATCCGGATATGCAGCTCTGCAAACGCACGGCGTGCATGGCCGTACTGTGCTAAAATAAGCTATACATGCGACACAATCAGACACCTGTCTAGAAGTCCCTGGCAGAGACTATGAAAGGCTGCAATTCTGCAATGGTTGGGAAGGCAAAGGCGAAGTCAGATGGACAGTCAAAACCTCTGGCCAAAACGAGGTCCTGCAGGCCTTCAGGGACCCGGGCTTCTGTCAGGACATCTTGGAGCCGATCGCGATCCATGTGCTTCAGTAAGGCATGTTTGGAAGGCTGGTTTAGGAAAAAGATAGCTGCGGAATGTGTACAGTCAGTGCGGATGGCAGGTACTGGACTGGCGCATGAGCACTGCTGAGTCGCTGACTTCTCCCAGTGCATACCTGAGTCGGCTAAGCCTGCGCTCGGAGCATCCCGAATCGGCCGCCAATTCCAGGTCGCCATGCATTCAGCCCAATCAAATAGCATCTTGGGCAGAGCACTTGCCACCCAAGCTCACATCCGAACGCCTGGTGGAAACCTTCAAATCCAATTACCCAGGTGAGCTGCTGGACGCTGACACCACGCCTTCCATCCGCCTTCTGAGCCTCGTGCACGAGGGCCTGAAGCCCGGGCAGTCCCTGAAGTGGGTGCCCTGGCAATATCGCCTTTCATCACGGCAATACCAGGAGCGCATGGAAGCAAAGTCGGCCCGAGCCGTGCGCTCAGAACTGCAACTCCTGAGTCAGGCCTTCTTTGACGACACACCAGAGGTGTCCGTGGAGCACCACTCGCTGTCAGCGGGGTGGCTCACCCGCATCCAGACCATGTTTCGCAATGCCCTGGCCCTGTGCCAAGCAGCGCACCTGTC